GCCCTGCCCCCGCCCTGCCCCCTCCACCTCATTTTCAAAAAACAAAATGGCTGTCAGTCAGCCATCTTGGATTAAATCAAAGAATGAACAGATTTGGTCCACAGGGTTCTGAAATATGACTCCGGACGGATGGAGACCAAATTATTAGTCCCCGTTTGGAACTACTAAAATGCTTGCATGTAGCTACATTACAAAATCACAATTGCATGCAATTATAGAATATAAAAAGTAATGTGAAACATTAAGGATAATTACATCATATTAATAAAATAAAACATTAAATTGTCGTAATAATATTATCATTGCACATAGATACAAGAGCCTTAACCACATTACATGTAATGCAGGCACACACACACTCGACAGGAAATTGAAATAGATACAGTGCAATAATGTAATTTATAACTCAAATACAGTTACTGCAATGATAATGAAATAATCCACATTGAGGATAATCTAATTACACAAGGTGAGAGAATTAATATATTAATCTCATAAAAAAAGAAATTGGTCAAAAATAGTAATTGTAAAAGGTGAAAGTGCAGAATTGTCATCTATAACTCACAAATGCCCTAATAATTAAAGACAGCATCAGACAAATCATATGACAGTAGAGTGCACATTGCACAGGCACAATCGGACATGATATTTTGGTGAGGGTACTACCATCATAGCTCACTGTTAAAAAAATAACGTAATATGTGCATATTGATGATTAAGGAAATATTAATCAACAATCAACCCATTTCAGATGGTTATCTTCAAATGATACAAGATCTATCGCGCAGTTCAATTGAATATAACTGAAATCATATTTCTATCTATTGGTACATTACTTTTGATACTATATTCAAGTATACAACTACTCATTTGTGCATAAAATTTCGGCTTAATAAGCTGCATTTTATCTTAGGTTGATTATGATCACCACCTTATCACATTCAGGTGATCAGTTAGCTATATTTGTTCCATGTTGAAGTAAAAAAAGGTTTGTATACAAATTAACAAAAAATTGTCTTGAAGGAGACATTATCACAGAGGCCGCAATGTGGAATAGTGTATACAAATATATAATAAGCAATCAGGCAGAATATTGACAATTCATGGAACATCTGTAATCTGTTTGTGACTTTTGCTGAGAGTAAAGCGTTTCCCATACGTGAAAACGTAACTTGATTAGACATTAAAAAATAAACTCAAATTCAATCTGAAAAATGGTGGATCACACATTACTATTACTTAGCTATCATGATAAATATTGCAACTTAATTCAATATTCTGGTAGTGTTCACTAGTTTGTAATCTATCTTTATCTCTGATTACAGTTTGTGCTATGCACATTGTCCCCTTACCCATGTTAATGTTTAATAATAATAACTTTATTACACTACTAAAAACCTTCAGAGGGTTTTTGTATGGTAAGGAACATAAATACATACAATACATAAGAGATAAAAATAAAATGTTAGTAAAATGTTTAATAATAATATTTTGCTTGCTTCATCTGATTCATCTTCAGACAAAACCAAGACAATGGATGGACCAGTTCCTGTGTAAATTATCTGATATGGGAGAGATTATTGACAAAACATCTGAAGTCAATCATCTGATTGGTGCAGTTGGTATCAGCCCTGAAAAGGTTTCAAATTACAGCCAGTCCACAGGTTCCTTTGTGGATACATTTAGACACTTCCATCCACAACAGCAGGAAGCATTCACATGCTGGCGGACAACTACAGGGGCAAGACAACTCAATTATGGAACTCGAATTGATTATATTCTTGCTAGCATGTCACTTCAGGTTGAGCTGCTGGATTCGATTATCATGCCTAATGTGGAAGGCTCTGATCATTGCCCTGTGAAAGTTACTCTGAGATGTACTTGTGAAACTAGCAAGAAAATTCCTACATTATCCACAAAGCATATGCCAGAGTTTGCAGGGAAACAACAAAAGCTTTCAGGTTTTTTCACAAAGGCTGCCATTGAATCATCCCATATCAATACAACACCTGAAATAGATTCCAAGATATCTCATCCCAAATTAACAAATCATTATGAAAATTGTAGTGCCAGTAACCTTCTTAAAAGGACCTCATCTGCAAATGAAAGCAATGCTACAAAGAAACAAAAGACTACTAATCGGCCAAAGATGCATGGGAATATTTCAGATTTTTTTCAGAAGAAGTCTGTCAGCAAAACCTCTGACCACCCAAGCATACAATCGAAAGACCAGGTTATTCCACTTGAATGTGCTATTAGTGTTGCACCAAGAGCAGGGGAAGATGCGTCACATAGTATTCCAATGCAATCTGGCATGAAGGATGAAAAGAAAAAGGTAGCTGCGAAATGGAAAAATATGTTATCTGGCCCTAAACCCCCACCTTTATGTCGAGGTCACAAGGAACCTTGTGTTTTAAGAACCGTTAGAAAGACGGGATTGAATCAGGGCAGGCAGTTTTATGTTTGCACAAAACCTGAAGGCCCCAAATCAAATCCAAATGCGAGATGTGATTTCTTCCAGTGGGCTGATAAGAAATAACTAAAATGAGTGACACATTTGTTTATTAGCAATGATAATTGCCAGCCTCTTCACGAGGGAAGTATGCTGTGTTCACTTAGTGATCTTAACCTATAGGTTAAACACAGTCAACTAGACACAGTGGTTTTCAATTGTACCAGTCAACATCACTTATTGTGCAATATTTCTTTGTCACAGTAGCAATTAAAAGAATGGTGTTTATAAACAAACTCGCACCATGGTGTGCATACACTTTTAATAGATTGACACAAAATAAATATATACATATTGACTTTATTAAAGGACGATGTCAAAAGTTTGATGTCGGATAAAAAACTTATTTGCTTTAGTTTTTTTGTTGGGGGGGGGGGGGTTGACCTCAAAAAGTTTCCATCCTACAAAAACAATTTTATTTTTTAATGAAGTAGTTTTTTTTTCTATCCAATCATGGACAAACATAACAGAAAATGAAAAAAACAACAACATCCAAGTCGGGAAAATGGTTTGGTCTGAATCTATATATGTGCGTCAAATGAGATTAATTTGTAAAGCCTTTTTACACCCACCCAACAACCAACTGCTATGCAATACTACTGTCTGATTATGAATTTGTATTTAATGGTGAATGTAGTCTGACGCCATGGTCAATATTTATTAATTAAGCTTCAGTGGGGGAGAGGGGGAACTAAAGGAATTAAGTTTGTTATCCTACATTAAACTTTTGATGTTGTCCCTAATACTGCTGGATTCTGGATATATATTTTGTGGTGGGATCCTTCTGATAGATGCCTTCTTACAATAATAATATTTGCTGGAATGTACTGCCGTATGTATAAAAGTGAACACAATTCAGGTCATTTAAAAAATGCTTGATTTGAAAAGATTTTGACTGAATCGGTGCAGATAATTACTGCTACATTGTGCCAGTGAACTATAACCATTTAACACACTTAAAATTGAAACTGATATTAAACACAAGACACTAGTGTTTTTGATTGAACACAATGTTTCTAAACGTATTACACAAACAAAAAGATCGTAAATAACATGGTAAATACTACATAAAGGAAGTAAACGTGTACTGCTTGCGTAACCGGCGCTCGCGTACGGCACCTATTCGCCGAGCTTCACGTCCTTCCTTTTGCTACCGAGCATCCCCGAAAATAGATGCTTAATAACCGAGCTTATTACGTGCAGAGAACATGAAACCCGCCCACGCCGATCCACGCCACACAGCGTGGCCAGACATTGCGGGAAAGGCCTTCAGATCTGGCTGTAGACTGTCAACAGTTCTCGGGTCTAATGAAGAGTCCCTTATTTTCAAACGCCATAGGCGTTATAACGAAATGCCGAAGGCATTTTTCAAGCGAGGGACGGAAGGCCCGTTAAGTCGCTTAAAATGCCTTCGGCATTTCATTAACACGCCTACGGCGTTTGAAAATAAATGACTCTTTATTATGCCCGAGAACTATCGACAGTCTAATCTGGCTGTACTAGGATGTGAAAGCCTAAAGTAAGTCGAGAAACATAACAGTGAAAAAGTACTGAGAAATAATTGTTAACCCATAGTAGCTACTGACATACGAATAAATAACACAGAATAAACGCCATGGTAGTTGCTACATCCAATCAAAGAAGTCGTGTTCCTTCCACAAAAAGGGAGGCAAGTGAATCTGTTTCACTTTAAACATCCACTGCACATTGCTGGCTTATGAATAGTTTAGTTTCTGTTCGGTCGAAGCCTGAAGACGACGTTTCTTACATCTATCGATCAGTCTTGGTCGCGTGTTCAAAATTAACTTGGATTGCGTTCATTTGCGTTTTCTTGTGCCAAATCAATATGGCGGTCAGTTGTAAAACATCACAAAATCAAGCATGGCTACAAATATGGACCTATGGCATATGTGAATGTGTGTTTGACACGTGTATAACGTTGTGCACATCATTCTGTGTTGCAGATTAAATTCAAAATTGGCGACAATGACCATTAGCAAAATACCGACGTCATGATATGAATCTACCGATCACGTTCAAGCACATGCATACTATATCACAGTAGCACATGACTCGATCCGAATGAATATACATATAAATAACATGAATGTATCGTCTTGCAGATAATTCATTTTCATGTATTAATCCACCTCGTGCGATGGTGCAGGTTATCAGCTCATTCCAAAAATTGAATTATATGCTTAGAGATACAACACCGGGCGGGGAACTTCGTCATCATCTCATGATTGCAAGCTAATTTCATAGTGCAAATATAGATGATATTAAGACCATAAATCTTGTGTAAAAACAAAACGCGAAGTCGCTGCTCCCTCGTCCTCGTTCAACATTGTCACGCTCTGTCACCATGTGTGTTTATTTAACGATTGATATTAGTTGCCTCAAAGCATGTGTACGCTACAAAGAGTGCATATGTGTCAATGCACAATTAGACTCTATGTAATTGATGCTCGTAAACTGCATCTTGTGATATTTCTTTATTACAATTACACCCCAGCCATCTTGTTTTATCATCTGTACTTTAGTACTGTTTTTTTTTTAAATATAGTAGTATTTTGCATTCAGTGTAGATGTTTTAATTATTTCAAAAGCAAGTCATGTAAGCTAAGGACTACTCGTATAACTTGCCGCCATATACGTATCAAAGAGCAGACCGAATTTGGATAAGTGTACAAA